CCTGCCAGCTCTGAGCTGAGAGTATCTCCAGACCTGCCAGACTGTGTAAACCATAAGCTGCAGGACAGGAGGAAGATGAGTTGACCTGGGGCTATGCTTTAGAAGGGTGGGAGTATAAAAGGTGAAATCATTCTTCCCAATGCCAGGAAAACTGGAAGCTGGCACCCACTGGAGTTTTGGCATGAATGTGGATTTTGGCACAAAAYACTTCTGTAGTACYTTTGTTGTCRTGCAAACCTTTAGGATTTAGCTTTWAWCACAGGCTGATATTTGTTTCTGTTATTGCAGATATTGCCATGTGATATCCAGTATTTTTGGCAATGAATAAAGGCTCTGTAAGAAAAGCTTCAGGTAGAAAACCACTGACATCAGCTTCCCAGACGTCTCATCCAATGTCACCTGTCAGTTCTGGTGCCACATCTCCACATCTTAGCCAACAGACAACTCCAGCTGCTCACAAAAGCATGGAGCAGAGGCCCCAACAACGGGATATTTCAGCAGAAAATGTTGGATCTGCTTGGAAGTTTCARAAAGGTATTGTACAATCAATAATACTGGTATCAAAGTAGATACCACAAGCATTAAAAGCCAGTGTTGTGTGAACTGTATGATTTAAGATGTGTGATCTGTTGAAAAGTTTGAAAAAATTGTTTTCATGGTTTTTTTTTGGTACACAAATGCAGAAATGGGAGTAATGAAAGCTGGGGAAAATAATGAGACTTTTACTCCTTCCTGTACTGCTAGAGGGGATAATTTTCAATGTTTTCCCAGTGTTCAGTGTAAAGAAAAAGACTAACACAAAAATCACCAATTGTTCCACTACTAAAGGTAGTTTTCTGTTTAATTTCAGGTGAAAATGGTGTTAGCCCAGGAGTTAAGTACATAACTGAACCCGTTATAAAGAGTCTGTCAAAACAGCAAAATTTGGCTTTTATAACCTCACTGAATCTTTCTTCCCCGAAGGATGGGGACAAGAAATTTAAGGTAAGTTATTGGAAATAACTGGAAATTGAACCATGTGTAAAATTAATTTTCATTGATTTCTTTTTAAGGTTTCTTTTTAAGTGGATGTAAGCACTCTAATTTTAATAGCCTAGTTCTGTAACCAACTCCTGTTTAAAAGAAAAAGGTAATGGACACTTGAGCAAAAGAAAAGATTTGATTCATTAGAATGATGTTTAAAACCTATTAATTCATGTAATTTTTTAGCTCTTAGATTGTGCTGATTTGGTTGGTTTTKGGTTTGTTTTSTTTTTGTTTTGGTATTTTTAAWGAATAGGTGGYTGTTAAAATAGAAACACGACTTTCTCTTTAAAAAAACCCAGGCCCTGCAATGCTAAGGGGTTCATTTTCTCTTTTTTTAGTACATAGAAAATTTGGAAAAGTGCTCTAAGCTAGAGGTACTAAATCTTAGTAACAACCAAATAGAGAAGATTGAGAAGTTGGATAAACTGCTGAAGCTGCGGGAGCTCAACTTATCTGGCAACAAAATCAGGTAAGAGGAAACACCAAAGGGTCTGGAGAGCCCACCGTCAATAAAACTGATTTTCTTTTCCTGTTCAAGTGAATTCTCTCACAAGTGAACACTTGAGGTGAATTTCCCAGTTGTATGTCAAGACTAACAAGCTTTGAGATCTTTTTAAAGGAACAAGCTCTGAGGTGTAGAAGTATAAATAGTTCTGGGAAGTGCTGTTGGTATCCCATGGTTGTGGTTTAATTTGTTTTCCTTGGAAACCAAGCCAGAAGTGTGGGTTTCCAGATACCACAATGAAGAGTGGGYAATAACCCAATTAAATGCATTAAAAAATAATTAAACTTTTACTGTTTGTTATTACAGGTAATAGAATAAGTTTTCTTTTAGGAGAGGAACCTGAATAGGCTTGATCAGGCAGGTCAAAAACTCCCTAAATTTCTTTTGAACTCTGTGGAGAGCCTGGTGTCTTGTTTGAGTGGTTTTAAAGTGTTGAAGGGTAATGGTTCATGCACTAGCAAAACTCTTAATTGCTTTCAATTTTTCTATCCATGAATTATGATCTTTACTATTATGAAACTGCCTTTGCAGCAGAGGAGCTGCCATTTCAGTAGAGACGYTTACAATGGGAAGTGAGTAAAACCCCAGAGTTTCTACACATTGCATTCACACAACTTCCTCTCTCAACAGGAACTGAAAAGGGCATGGTAGCTTTTAGCTGCTGTTCTGTTTTCAGAYTTTGCTTATGTGTGGTTCATATATACTCAAAAAATAGTCACAAACACACATTCTGCTGTACTTTGTTATAATGCTCATAGTTTACTTAATGTTCACACATAGTCATAAAAAATGCTCAAGTAGACCAAAACCTAGCATGGCTTCTTCTAAAGTTTTAAAGAAAACATCAAAAAATGTAGTTCTTCATGCTGTCAGTTTACAGTTGATCCTTCATTTGTGTGGGGAAATACCTCCCCCTAAAAAACTTTATTTTGATTCATCTTTGTCCKGTTACGTTCTCAAGAGAAAAAGAAGATATTTTGTATCTTCAATTAAATTACCACACATTAACATAATGTTAATATTAAAATGATGATATGCAAAAATGAGGGTTTTGCTACAATGACAGAAAATGCTGTGATTTWTGGTCTTAACTTAGTACTTGTAAGTAACTCTGGTGTAATTTCATTTGAATTATACATGGCAGTAAATAATGGTTTTGCTGATCTGTTGGTTATTAATTGTGACAGATTTTGGTTTAGTTTATTCATAATCTTCAGTTTCACTTTAAATTTGCTGTGGTTCATGACAAATTATGTTTTTCTTTTCATTTTCAGCAAAATTGAAGGCATAGAACATCTGCAGAACCTACAAAAGCTGAACCTGGCAGGGAATGAGATTGAGCACATTCCTGTGTGGGTTGGGAAGAAACTGAGATCCCTGCGGAGTCTTAGTTTGAAAAGGAATAAAGTGTCCTCAGTAAGTGACTCTAGTTAGGAACAGGCATTGTTCAGAGCCTTTCCATGAAGTCAGCTGGGGAATTTACATTGGTTGACTTACTCTGAGTAATTGCTGAGTGTCTTTCCACAAAAGTCTTTTCTGAAATGCAGCAGTTGGGAGCCTAATAAAGTTATTTATCAGAAAGATTCCTTTTGTGCCAGGTATTAAAGATGCAAACCTGTGTATTGTGTTGTTTTGGAAAGCATAAGTGTTCGGGAGGTTACACACCCACAGATCGTAGTGGCTTCACATTTCCAAACTAAAGCTTGACTGCATTTATCCTCTTTGCAGTGGCATTTTTTATAAAGGAAATAATTTGATTTTAGGAAGTGACTTTAGTCATAGTTCTGTGTATTTTTAGATTTTTAGACATTACTCTTTAGCATAAATATTAAGCTAGATCGTTTAATAGAAACGTAACATAAAACATTCTGCATAACCAGAAATTCTCAAATGGGGGTTGAATTGTTCTTGGAAGGATGTCTAAATCATTGTTTTGTTTCTCTTTGATTTAGCTCCATGATATAGCTAAACTAAAGCCTCTGCAAGATCTCACCTCTCTGTTCCTTGCTGAAAATCCAGTTGCAATTCTGCCTCACTACTACCTGTAYACCATATTCCACCTGAGAGCACTGGAAAACTTGGATGGACAGCCAGTGACAAACCATGACAGGCAAGAAGCTCTGGAAAGGTTTAATTTAGGTAATAATATGCTGAATCTGAAATGAATGACACAACATTTAAATTTAGGAAGGAAAAGGTTTTTCTATATGAATGTTTCTCTGATTTTGTTTTTCAGAAGAGATAGAAAAATTAGAAAGGGAATTGGAAAACGCAGCAAAGGAGATGGAGAACCTTAAACTTAACCAGTCCAAAGTGCTTGAGCAACTTCAGCATCAGGATGAGCTCAACAAATCACTAATGGAAAAGGCTTTGCAGCAGAGACAAAGCTTTGAAGACCTACAAAGGGACCTGGGCACCAAAAATGAACTGGTAAGGTAATCATTGGCACTAAGGAAGTCTTTGGACACAGAGTTGTCAGTGGGAGAGTTCAACAGGCTGGAGACTTATTTTTAAAATTGTTGTGATTATTGACCAATGGTTCTTCAATATTCTTTCTCTGGAAGAAGTAAGTATATTGAACAGCATTCAGTATCACTTTTGTGATTTATAGTAACTTCTTTGTTTCTAGTAATTATTTATGTATTTCTATTTAAAATTTGTGAATTGGTAAAAGGTTAAGCTGCTAAATTACTGTTGTACTGAATATGCCTGCAATGGTCAGACTTCCAAGTGCTGCTGCAATAAGGGAGAWAAWKGRWWTYTTTWARGRMMCAAGATGTGCACMCAAGTTGTACATYAGTAATARCTCCTGATTATTATTTTGGGTAATGTGCACCTGTRTATTTGTATTTTATCCACATCATCCTAAAGTCTCATGTTTGAGTGTCTTGGTAGCCATAAAATGCAAGAAAAGTCCTCCTGATTTGGGAGTGCTGGGTTGGAATGACCCGATCAAAACTTAATATATGGATTTTATCTTTTAGCCTTATCCTCTAAAATTTTATCCTTCAGACTCTCTGGACCTGGTACATCTATATCTGTTTCTTCTCTGAACACACACACTAATCAMCTTCTAAAATGTACTTTTCAGCATAGTGAGATGTAGCAGCAAATACTTAGCAGCTTGAACCCACTCTTRTCCTTTGGATGACAAACTTGGCTCACTTCTGTCTCCCTTTAGCTGGTGTCTGGGTTTGTCACAGTCCCCTTCCTGCAGAGCCTTTGTTCCTCACTCAAGGTAGCCCCACTGTGCTCCTGGTTGTTTTTATTTCTAGGATGTATTTGCACGTTCCCTGAAGTAGCAACATCAYAATGAAATTTCTCAGTGAAACTTCATATTCACTGTGGTTTGAAATACAACTTTCTTGATATTTTTCCCCTTTTCTCTGAAACCAGYTAATTTTTGCATGACATTTATCAGKTTTTTAATTCCYTCTTTAAGCCTTTCCTGCTTTATTTCTYTTCCTCCATTAGTCCTGCTTTCTGCTGTCTATTGGAATTGTGCTGCATGTTCTCCCTCAGGTATTCAGTGTGAAAAGTTGATTTAAAAAGAAATCACATGATGGACCTTTGTTTAAAAATAACCTCAAAACCAATCTAGCACATGGTTATGCTAAAATTAAATATATAGACTTTGTACACTTGAGAATTGAGAGATTTTGCTTCTTTTACAGACCGTGTTAATAGTTCTCATGCTCACTAGTAGCAGTAAATATGTTTGTTATTTGGCCTAGATTTTGCTAAAGGATCATACCCAAATTATTATTTTATCCCAACTTAKGTTTAAAAATAAACTTGTCACTTCAATGTACATAAAGTTAAAAGGCCTTTCATGTGATCATTTGTATTCTATTAACTGTGGGGCTTTTGTCTCCTCTTAGTCACYATTGTACCTTGTAATAAAATTCCCCTTTGTGATATTCCTGATCCAAAATTGTGATGTGAGCTTTGTTCCYTCATTAATGGCTGTGCCCTGCTCTCTGTAGAGCTGCCATGTGTGTGACAATGGTGACACTGCAGTGAGTGACACTCACAGGGTTTTGTGGTTTCTCAGCTGAAGCAGAAGACAGTGGAGCTCACCCGGGCTTGCCAGAAGCAGTATGAGCTGGAGCAGGAGCTGGCCTTTTACAAGATCGATGCAAAATTTGAGCCCTTGAATTATTTTCCTTCAGAGGTAATAATTTTAAAATCACAGATCTTTTCATTGTTGTTTCCCTTGGTATAAAAAACTGTAGTTTTTCTATACTTTAATAGATCCTGCTTTATTCAAGGCCCAGCCCCTGTCATACTTGCAAACAAAAATTCCAGAATGAAATCCATAAGAGACGTAAGGATCGGTAATCATTGACTACAATTAAGTTATGTCTGAGTAAAATTTAAGTGCAACAATGTAATAGACTAAATATGATCTAAGTAAATTTATTATACTAAGRAAAAGTTCCTTTTTCAAAAGACATTTGCAACAAACTGGTCACGTTCCAACTGGTTTTGCTTGGTTTTAATTCCCTTATAGTGACATTCAAGGCCAAAAAAGCCAAGCATAATCTGTTTTCTTCTAATTCTTCTGATTTCAATTTGGTTTTCCTTTTTATGCTTGATAAGAGTTAAATGTATGTTACGAGTTGATTGCAACCATAGTTCTGAGATAAAGACATTGCTTCTTACATTTCAGGAGGTTGAACTTGATAATGTACCTGGTGAAAGCCCCTACATTGGTAAGGCCAGGTACAAAAGAAATATGTTTATAAGGGAAGGCTACATCACTGACAAAGCTCAGCAGCTGCAGGTTGGAAAAATTCAGCAGGAGGATGTTGACTCCTGTAAGAAACCCGAGCATCTCCAAACTCTAGATCAAATACTGCAGGAAAAGGAAGAGAAGATCAATTCAGGTAAAACATTAATTTTTATCCAAATAAAAATATGTATATCAATGTGGGTTATTCCAGTGGTTACATGCTTTGACACAGGTTGGTCATAAGAACAGAAACTGTTTCAGAGGCTGCAAGTGCTGTGGCTGTACTTGATGCATTTTTGTGTCAAAACTCCTACAGTTTATAGCTGTTACTTTAAATAACTCAGGATGAAAGCATTACATGTTATTGAAAACACAGTTCTAGGCAGTTTTCATACTTCATGCATGAATTTAATCGTGTAAAAGTCATTAAAAGGACTTTAGACATGGTTTTTAAGGAGCCAGACTGCATTAACTGTGATTATCACTGTGTTAATGCTGTGCTGTGTTCACAGAAGCTGTGTACCAGTGTTATAAACAATATTATAATGTATTTTGTGGGTTTGGTTTTGGTTTGTTTTGTCTGCAGCACAAAGAAGATTAGAAGAACTGCARAGTGAAATTGGAGATGCAGAGCAACAAGTGTTGAAAGTAACAGGGGAACTGCAACAACTGGAGGATGCTCTGGCTCAGAAAAAAGTAAGTTGTWCCATGAATAGCAAGGGAAGGTGTTTGAAGCAGTGTTGATGTAAGAAAATACAACCTTTTCTCCCCATTCTTACAAAAACGCAGCTGTACAGACATTAATTTGTTTGTCAAGCAACAGAAAAGTCATACAGGTTTTAGAGAGCTTGTTTATGAATCACTTCTTAGAGCTGCAGTTAATGGCATCTGAAMGTGTTCCATGTGTTGCTGTTGATTTATTGCTGACATTCCCCAAAACCCTGGGGAAGAACCTGTGCAGCTGATAAGCAATGTGGCTACAGAACTGGCAGCAAGAATGAATTTATCAGCATTAAACTAAAACAGCATYTTCCACTTCTTTAATTGTCATTAAATATTGCTATTTTTGGTTTTTAAACTTGCCCAAAAATCAGTGACCAGGATCTTCWTTATTTAGATGTTAAATATGTCCTTGATCAGCTGTGTATTTCCAACTCACTCAACCTCCTAATGCTGTCTCCAGATATCCCAGGCCAGCAAGGAAGCAATTGAACAGCAATTGAGTGAAAGGTTACAAATCCTACAGGAGCTACGCAAGGAAACCTTGGAACTGGAAAAACAAATAGAGAAACAGAAAAGAGAAATGGGGAAAAATCAGAAAGAGCTTGAAGACTTGCAGAGTTCTCTTGGTTGTGTAAATCCTGAGGATCCAAGACATGTAAGTAAACCCAGAATCTGAAGTTTTAATGTATTCATGCACTGAGGAGTGGAGTAAAGGCAGCTTTTACAGGTGACCATTCACTTGTGGCTGTTTCATGAGTTAGATATTCTTTTGCTATTTATCAAAATCATTAACTTGTAATGTAAAATCAACTCTTCACAGTTAAAAACAATCCCTCCAAACCAACCTGCTTTGGTAAAACACTTGAACAACTCATTTTCCCAGCAKTTGCTGTACTGCATGTTAAGAACRAAATCTTTATGCTTTGCACAAACATGCTGTGCAGAGCCTTGGAGACAATTTCTGTGCAAGAAATCCTTCATGCATCTTTTTGTGGAGTCTGGCCTTAAAGATTTTTAAGGTCTGTGTCTGGCAGTGCTTGTCCAGCCGGTTTGGTGGGGATTGATGGCCTTTCTCTGCTGTCACATACAATCCTGTCAGTCCTGAGAGAATCAGAGGTCACATCTCACAGGGCTGGGGTGCCAAGGAAAGCTTGAGCTTCTACCTGACTTTATGATCTCCAGGGATGCAGGACTTTTTCTGAGTTATTAACTGTGTTCAGGTACAGAAAACATACAGAAAAACTTACAGAAATTGAACTAAACCGAAACTGAATTACTAATAGTGCTTGGAAAAAGCTTGTATCTCTAAATGAAAGTTTTTCAGGCCAGCTGGATGCTTTAAAGTAAGCAATGAWAGAATTTTTATGCATCGCTCCGTTTCCAGCAGAGCACTCAAACACTTTTTAAAAAGCTCTTTTGTGTTATTRAGCTTTGGGTGGCAGAAGGGCCGAGCGGAAAGCTCCCAGGGGATGGCCGGGCCCGGGGCAGGAGCGAGCCCGGCCCTTCCCGCGGCCGCCCCTCGCTTCGAATCACAACACAGGAAACGCCGTGCGGGCCAACGGCCGGGAACGGGCTGGGAAGAGGCTGGGAACGGGGCCGGGAACGGGGCTGGGAACGGGCTGGGAACGGAGCTAAGGCGCGGCTCCAGCCCCCGCCCCAGACCCCATGGAGTCTCCGCTCAATTCCTGTCCGTCCTGAAACTCCCGGTGCTTTATTCAAATGAATTCCCGCTCAGGGGTGGGGCGTGCTGCAAGTGCTGTCTCAGGAAGAAAAGACAAAGGCAAAGCTGTAAGTGTTCGGGGACCTGTGGCTTTTTGTTTCTTTTTCAAGCTGCATTTTTGGTGCTATTCAGCAGCTGCAGCAAAATGGCTCAGCGGTGGCAGCTCGGTTTGGGTTTTACTTGTTGAAATTTCCTTTCTGAAAGCTGCATGGCAGTTTGTGTTTAGCAAGGTGACAAGTTGAACTGTGCTGATAGGGRTGTTTAAGTTAACTTCCGGTTTAATCCGTTAAAAATACAAAAAGCTTTGGTTTTATCCATTTACTTTTGTTATGGAAGCAACTTTGTAGGTGTTCTTTTTTCTGAGAACTCATGTTTAAATTTTCTTCTGCTAGCTCAGTTAACTTCTTTTTGAGTAGTACAAAAACATGCAGATAATCATGACAGTATAATTCTTCATTTTCCAAAGTTTCTGGCATTTGGTTTGTTTCTGAGCAATTTCATACCAGTGAGAAACAACACTTTATTCTGTTGATAACCAGTAAACAGCTGAAACAATCAGCTAATTCATACTAAATGCATGAAGTCCTGGCCAAAGTCTGTGTGAGCTGTGTGATGTATCTCGCAGAAATATTTTAATAAAATAAGATTTACTTAACAATATTTACTTAGTAACTGTAAAGTTTGCCTAACTACTGTTCAGTATTTTCCTTCAAGTGCTGACCTGACATGTTCTAAAGCATCATCTGCTGTGGAGGCAATGCAGGATGACAGGWTTAAAGGTTCTGGGAGAAATCATGTTTGTTCTTGACTGAGAGAGGAAGTGGTAGAACAAAATGTAAAGGCTAGAAGAAAGATAGTAGCCATGAGTAATAATTTATAAATGCAGGCTTTATTCACCCTGGGCAGGGGGGAGCCTCCAAACAATGCTGTTAGTCACAGATTGTGCTTATCTGGGGTCCTTTGTGGGGCAGGAGTGAGGAAAAATAACAAGTAACAAACCCCAAAGCACCACAATAGTGCTGAGCTTGTGGCTTTTCTTGCTGATGGTGAGAYACTGCAGAACTGAGACAAAATCCTGATTCGATTTTTTTAAATCTGTATTGATGTCCTGCTTTACCTTTCAAACTGTTACTTGACAGGCTCACATGAAAGCTCAAAAAGCAAGTAAAGAGCAGCACCTTGATATAATGAACAAACATTGCCAGCAGCTGGAGAGTCGCCTGGATGAGATGCTCTCCAGGATTGCAAAGGAAACTGAGGAAATCAAGGACTTGGAGCAGCAGCTCACTGATGGTAAACTTTAATTTTTGTCTTCAAGGATTTCTTTTATTTAAGACAATGTGACAAATGAACTGAGGATTCACTTTGATTTATCTTTGCTTAAATGATGCAGGAATGCACAAAGAGCTGCATTTTCATTTTGACTCTCTCAGTGGTCAGGTTAATACAATAATATTGGGAATCCTAACCTTAAAACCAGTTTTTTTCTGCTTGAATTCTAGGTATTTGTTATTACTTACTCCAATAGCAAACGGTTTAAACAAGATGAAGAAAGGCAGWTTGGTTTGTTTTGTAAATAAATGTGACTTCTTAGCTACCTCAGATTCATTYTGCATTTCTGCAGGTCAAATAGCAACAAATGAAGCACTGAAAAGGGATTTGGAAAGTATAATCACTGGATTACAGGAATACCTGCAAAGTGTGAAGTATCAGGCAAAACAGGCCAATGAGGAGTGTRAGAAGTTACAGAAGGAAAAAGAATCTTTGCTGGGAAGATTGGCAGATCTGGAGGAGGAAAAAAMCAACCTGGAAGTKGTTGCCATGGATGCAGAAAATATGAGAAAAGTAAAGCCTAATATCATTTCCTAAATTCAAGTGTCAATGAGTAAATTTGAAAAAAATAAACTGGTGATCAGATTGAGACTAGGGAAGCACAGTTCCTCAGACAAAATAATTTTTGATAGGGTAACACACCTCAAGAACAGAATCTGGCCTTTAAAACCAGTTGCACGAGACATTCAGTGAATATATGCTTTATGGGAGATGCCTCAGAAATGTAGGTTTTACCTTTCACACATCACTAGAAATGGATTTGCAGGTTACACTGTGGGGAATGGCATCAGTGGAACCTCTGACACTGGCCAAGGGTGTGTGTTAGCACAGGGACTGAGGGAGCTGTCTGGGTACAAACAGTTTTATAGTGAGTGAGGAGTTTTATAAAAATCTGARTTCCTGGGGCTATTGTGTATCACTTCCAGCTCCATCTTTCTAACCTGAGTGTGGATTTTGGACAGTCAGAGTGTCATCATTGACCTGCAGGTAGAAATGTCACCACCTTCACGTTCCAACAGAGTTCAAAGGGCAGTGAGGCAATGTGCTCTGAAGAAATTCTGACCCTCCCAATGTACATCTTTCTAAAATGGATCTAAAATTCCAGGAAATTGCAATGCTGGAGAATGCACTCCAGGAGCAAAGAGAAATAAATGAGTCCCTTCGAGATGCCCAGGAGAAGGTCAGCACCTATGAGGCTGAGCTGGAAGCCCAGTTAAGAGAGAGGGATGCTGAAGCCAAGCAGCAAAAAGAAGAATTTGAAAGACTGAAACAACTCAGCCAGGTAAAAGCAGAAATTTAATGTTATCTAGCTCAGKACACCTCATCTCCAACATTAAATTACCAACAATTGCTGATTTAGCTGTGCCCCCCACAGAAGATGGGATCAGTTCACTGGGATTTATAATTTTGTTTTCAAGCAAGGTCCAGATGGTTTGCTTGGGGTTGTTTTCTAGGATCTTTTTTAGGTGCTGTCAYATTGTTACCGTTTTAAGAAATGCATCTGTTGTGTATTTGGGTGACAGGTTGGGGTTGGGAGTGGGGATATTAATCTGGAGGTTTTCTGATTTTATAGATGGAGCTGTCAGCCCTACAAGATGAACTTGAAAAAGAGAGACAACTGTTAGAGAATGCTCAGACCAAAGCACAACTGGCAGAGGAGAAGGAGCAACAAAATTACAAGCTCCTTTTGCAGTTCAAACAACTGCAGGTGAAGTGTTTCTCGTATTAAAAACTCTAGCTTTTCTTACTTGTGGATTAGTTTACTTACATTTGTGTGGATTTTGTCTTTTCTTTCTCTAGGGAGACAATAATTTCCTAAAACAACAGCTTAAAGATCTCCAGAATCAGCTCAACCATGCAGTTGGGAACTTAATTCATCCTGAGGATGTCATGGCATGTATAAATGAATTCAGGCAAAAGCTTCAGACAGGAGATGGAGAGATCAAGTGAGTAAAATAAAAGTACAAACTATGAGATTTKTGCATGTGAAAGGGACAGGACAAGAGGAAATGGCCTCARRTTGTACCATGGRAGGTTCAGATTGRATATCTGGGAAATTTTCCTCACTGAAAGCRTTGCCAAGCWWTGGAACACTGCTCAGGGCAGTGGTGAAGTCACCAGCACTGGAGGGATTTAAAAAATACTTAAATGTGCACTTAGGGATATGGGTTARTGGTGGCCTTGGCAGTCCTGGGGGAATGGCTGGATTTGATGATCATAAAACTCTTTTCCAACCTAACCTGAATTAATTGCACAGCATGCCTTCAACTTGCACTATTTTTCATTCATTATTTCAATATCTGCTATCACAATTTAAAATCCGTTTTCTGTCTTGGAACCTGGRTTGTTTCTCTTTCAGGTGTCCAGATTCAGCTGATGTTTTAGGGAAAAGCTTTGCAAGTCTGCAGAAAGAATTCAATGACATCCTTGCTGATGCTCGGAGAGAAAAAGAGAAAGCATGGGCTGGACAGAGCCAATTGCAGGAAGCAATGGCATCCCAGCAGGAAAAACTGGAAGAGCTACAGGAGAAATACAGACAGGCAYGTATCAAACAACAAAAGCAAGACAATTTCAGTTTAGTGTAAAAAACATAAATTGCAGCTATAGGATCAAGTTTCATTTGATGAAGCTTTGCTATGCTCTGTCCTTCATGTAATAGTGGAGTCTCATTTTATTTTTGATTAATAATTTTTCTGATTATTTGTTGAATTGGAATTTAGCCAGTGATCTGTCTCAGAGGCAACAAAGAATTTAATTATCACTAGTTATGAACCTTCCTGAAAGATCACTATGCATATCATTAACAAAATAACTGAGGCACTCTCTTCAAATGTTACAGTTACAGTGGCAAAGTGGTTACCTTTCCTTTCTGTTTTGATGCAAAGTATGCTGGTAACTGAATTTCCCAGAGGTTTGTTTCATTAAATCATTAAAACAGAGTGCCTTTTGATTGGGATTTTTTTTTCTGGTTACTGATTCTAACTTATTTCACTTGTAGGTTAAAGCTGAAAACAGGCAAAATAAGAACAAGGTCCATCAGTTACAGAATGAAATTCARCATTTGCATGAAAAAATAAAGAGCATGGAAGAGATTCAGGGCCTGGCTGACCAGCAGCTCCAGGAGGTRGATGAAGAAAAAGAGGCCATTCTTGCCCAGCTGGAGAATTTAGAGAAAAGGGTAAGAATGGGTGAGGGCAATGTCATACCAAGAGAAAAGCAGCATGGATGAAAGACTTAAAATTTTTAAAATTTACTATTTTCCTGCTTTCAGAAAAAAATAGAAGATGCCAGGGCACAAATGCAMATGGCGAGTCTGGGTAAGGAGCTGAAGCAGCTGCAGAGAGCAGTTGTCACCTCAGACAARCTGGCRACCACYGAGCTGTCCCTYGCTGCAAACCAGCTCAGGGCTCTGSAGGACACTGTGCTCACCATCAACCAGGAGAGAGCTGAGGTAAATCATGGAGAATTCATTAATTAATTGCTTGTTAATGCCTCTSTAGTGGGAGCAGTCCTGGTGTCTTTGAAATGAGCTTCAGAGCTTTCTTCTGTGCTGCTGCACAGGAGCTCTTGCTTTGGGTGGAGTTTGAAATACAGTGTGAATGAGAAAATTGGGGCATGGACAGGTGTTTCTGCTGTGGGAGGGAGGGCAGGGAGAGGATTTTAAATCTCTTATTAACTGAAAGGCAAACAGTAGATAATACATTRTTCTGTAGGACAGRAAAGCAAAAKAGARGRCTGGAAGTTTGTGCTTACACAAACTGAAAACACTTTTTCAAACTGGGAAGCACTTCTGGCTACAAAATAACATCTGCTCTGTAAAAATACTGTAAAGTTGAAGGAGAAACGGTATTTTACAGATTAGATCTAGAGTGCCAGAACAGTTAGGTGCTGATGCTTCTCAATGGTCAGCTTTTCACAATGACACATCTCAAGCCTGAGATATGTTCCTGCAAACTAAAACTCAAATGAAAATCTCAATTYCAGGAGATTGAGGAAGCCCAAGGGTTCTGTGATGAGGCAGCTCGAGCTTCCCAAGCTCTKGCTAGAGCAGAAGCAGAAATAGAATTGCTACAACAACTCCTGAAGGAGAAGGAAGAGCAAGTAGGTTGTTTGCTCTGTGTTATATGATAAAATATCAGTGAGTTTCTGAAAATGTCATGTTTAGATGTTCTTGCCCTGCCCTTTTCCCCTCAGGTTTTCTCAGATCACAATATTCTTCCTTCCCCTGATATCTGCCCAAGAACAAAATGAAGAGTTCACTGCCTGGAGTAGCTGAGTTTTAAAGAAAACCATCACCTGTTCACTTAAACACCTCTCTGGCCGTGGCTGAACCTCAGTCATGTGAAGGAATAGGAATAACAGCTTTGTGGCATTGAGTGGGAGCTTTTTCTGATTTAAAATTCTGTTTCAAATAGGTTCTGCATGAAATGGAGAAAACTGGTGAAAAAGCTGTTGCATCAAACACACAGAAGTTCGAAATTAATAAATTAAATGAGGCTATGGAGCAACAAAAAGCAGAGATTGACCGTTTGAAATGGTTATTGGATCATTTTGGGACAGGTAATTTCTCTCTTCTCTCCATTTCTTGCACAGAGACACAAGATTATTTTTCCCCATTTCTCACTGTTTGAGCYAAGAATCTGGAGAATAAAGTGTTGAGAATATCCTTCTGCACAGATTTATATAGGATATGTGTCAATTTTCATCAGTTTGTGCTTTTTACAGCTATTTAGAAAACACKGATTGTGCTCTGGGACATTGTCAGAGATCTGTATAAGGAAAAGGAGCAGCAGATACCTGAATTTCTATTTCTACAATCTTAAAACTTGCTAGTTTATATCTGTCACTGTATATACATTTAGTTTGTTTCCTCCAGCAATTAATTTTTAAAAATATAGTTCCAGATTAACTGGATAACAACAAGGGAAAAGTTGTATGCCATATTTATTTATGCTTTATGACTATAAAATTGTGATTYATTTCCAGGTAACAAAGATGAAATTGAGGCCTTACAAGATGAMATTGCAGCCCACAGAAATGCATTCTCACAGCAGAATGATCACACCACCAGCACAGAGCCACTGAAAAGAAAGGGATACTGGTATTATGTGCCATCATCACAGGTCAGGAATGGAAACTCTGTGATGGTTTATTTTCCTTGTGGAAAGCCTTTTGAGGGGGGRAGCACATTATAAACTTACTAGGATTGAGGGAAACTTAAGAACAAATATTTGCTGGTGTGTAAGAGAAATACTGAAACAAAACACCAACAAATGTAAAGCCTATTACTGTGGTTATAGGAATCCAGGATACATTGCGTTGGGAGACAACTGTTCAATGGGCAGTACTGAATTTAAAACCAATGTTGTTAAAATATATTTAGTGCTTTTAAAGCAGCATCATGCTTAGAACTGAGTGACAGCAAAGAATGTGTAGCCTGTTCCTAAAAAATCCCTAGAATGTCTACAACAAATCCTTTATTTGATGTGATTTGTCATTTCTAGATTAACACATGTTGTATGTTTTCTTTAGGCTTCAACTCCTGCTTCCAACAGCACCAAGGACTCTGGAGTGTGTTTGAGGTGCTGTGGCACATCCTCAGCCACGAGAGGGGGTGATCAGGACAGGCCCTGTGAGAGGGAAGACTTGCCCAGCCAAGGATATTGGGTTTATTCACCAGTCAGAAATAGGCTGTACAAATCAAATTCTGGCAAAGGTAAGGCAGTCTCAGAGTGTTTAGGAGCAGACTGAAGATGGGCTTGCTTAGAGTTCACAGAGAGTATTTTTGATGGGCGTGACTGAATAGAAGTGCTTGTTACTGTTGAGTAACTTAGTTTAACCAATGTTTATTACATTTTTGTCAATTAAGTAGAATTTTAAATGTGCATTTGAAGACTATCTGTGCTGAAAGTAATATTAACCATAATGTGTTTGGCTTTGATTTTTTTATAGATAGAAGAGTAAAAGAAGATGATGCAGGGAAGGCAGGATCTCCTGTTCCTGAAGCCTCTCCCTTTGCCCCACCCCCAGGCACAGTTATTTACACAGCCCTTCCAGATGGGGCCCCTGCACCTCAGGGAATGGGGGTTTATGCCCCTCCTCCTGCAGCAGCCACCACGAGTCCAGTTGCTCCTGGATCCATTTTCCATGGGCCACCTCCTGTGGGATCCCAGACTCTTTATGGCCCTCTGCCTGCAAACSTCACGGTGCCACTCGTTCCCCTGGGAGTGCTCCACTGCAATGTGCCTGAACATCAGGATCTGGTAAGGACCAGAGCTGCAGCTGCAGCTGGGACCCTTGGGAACTGACTGACAAATGGGTTAGAAAAAWATCCCTGCTAGGAAGGGTCTGGTTACTGTCTTTGCCTTCTGTAGCTGCTCCTGAGTGTCAGGAGGCATCAAACAGAAAATAGATCCYGATTCTGTTCTGTTCCCTGTATGCAGGAGAGTGAAATCTCAAGGCTGGAAGACACTGTGTGCTATTTAAAGTCTCAGAAGTATAAAGAGAAATGCTCAGAGGCAGCTGAGCACAAATACAAAAAAGAGGTTGAAAGATTGCATGAAAATATTGAGGAACTTGAGCATGAAAGAGAGGAGCTGGAACGTGAAGTGGCAGAGCTGCGCCGAGCAGCTCCGAAACGGAGCACACGCAGGTGGGAATATTGGGTGGACTGCACTGAAGGGAAGCATGTGAAAATACCTCAAACTTCTCCCAGCTAAAATCAGCTTTTTGACTCATTTACAATTCTAGAACTTCAAGGGGCTCCAGGCCTGTGGCATTTTTGTATTTTAATTCCATGTTTTTTTTATGCTTACCTCTTAGGGACTTTATTGACGGCTACACCGACAGCCTCCTCKCAGAGCTGCAGCTGGAAAGGTCCCTGCAGCAGCAGGAAGATGTTGCAGAGGAGATTGAATGTGCAGAGAAAACTCTGCTGAAACGCAGAGCAGAGCTCAGAGAGGCTGACAGGCTCCTCACAGAGGCTCAGGTGGAACTCGAGAGCACCCGGGGCAAGGTGAGTAAAGCCCAGACTGAAGGCAGAAAGATTTGAGGGTTGTTTTGTTTCTCTGGGCAGTTTATTTTCACATGGATGGAATGTATCGTGTCCATCTTTGATTTTTGCTGCAGACTAAAGAGACTCTTGAGAAGTACAATCGTGCCAAACACCGTTTGTCCTGCACTGAAATGGAGGCAGAGGAGCTGGAGCAGAGAGCTCAGGAAACAGCAACAAAACTTGTGAAAACAGCTCAGCAGCTCAGGTACACTGAGTGCTCTTGTGGGTTTGTGTCACACAGGGTGAGGAGATGAACTGGATTCTTTTGCTTTTGGAGAGGGAGGGTTAAAAGGTTAACATGAAAAGGCGTAAATGCTCTTTTAGGTTATTACAGACAGATACGAGGAGTTTGGAACAGCACAAGAGGGAGCAAGAAGGCATTTTGAAGGAAATCAACAAAATGGTGGCTGCAAAAGACTCTGAGTTGCAGTCATTAAACCAGAAGATAGAAATGCTCACTGACAGGTGAGTACTTTTAACAGCATAAACTGTATTAAATCAAATGTGACCTCCTCCCATAAGTCACTGCCTAAGATATTTTCCCTTCTTCTGACTCCTGTTTTTATCCTCACTCTCAGTCTTCAGAAGCTCCAAGGAGATATTCAACTTGCAGAAGGTAATGAGGCCCAGCATCTCGAAATCATCAGAGAAGCAGAAAACCTTGTTCAGGGCAGGAAAACTGAACTGGAAACACTGAAAGATCAGGTAAGGCTTGGCCTAACCCTGGGCTATCCCTTTTGTTGGAATTGACCTTTATCTCATGCTTATGTTCYGAGTCTCTCAGATACTCTTGTTCATGTGTGTGTTTAGCTACAAAAACAAAAGCTKCCACTGATTGTTCTGTTAAACTTGTGCACTGTAGATTTCTGCTCAGCAGCAAGAGCTCTTGTTCCTGGAGCAACAGATAAATCAGAGAACAGAAGAGCTCCGTGGCCTTGAGGACTGCCTTTCCCAAAAGAAAGGTCACCTCCAAGAAGCTCTTCGAGATGGAGAGACTGAAGCACATGAAAAACTTTGCCAAATAAGGGTACGTTTTCCAAATGAGTTTTCAAATCATTATAGCAAAAGAATTGAAGGATTGAAAACATTCCAGGAGCTTTCCATAAAATCAGTTTTGCTTTTTATGCCCTATGAGAAATAAACCATGCAAGTTTATGGTTCTGTGTGATGAAAAGCTTGGTCCAGATGCACAAATAAGAACTCCCCAGTTCTAGTAATTCTTACAGAATTGGTCCCTTGAGAACTAAATTACATTAAATATAAATCTCTGAATGACTTCCTGTTGCTGAGAGGAGCAGCTGCTGAAGGAGATCAGTGTGATCAGTGTGTGTAAAACACAACAGAGCTGCCTCAGTCTGTCCCCATCCCCATTTGCACAGAAAGGATTTGTATTTCCCTTTTGAAATCAAAACAAAGTATCAGGACTAATTACATTTTGTGGTGGATTTTCTTTTGTGAGGGCTTCTGGTCTGATTTTGTTATAAGCCCGGTTATTCACTTGAATGAGAGAGACTTGGAGATCAAAATCTTTGCAGAATTACTACTCCAAATCATCAACAAGCAAGACTTTAACCTAAATATTCTGTATTTTTTGTTTGTTAAACCAGATTTTATAAATACTTAGAACTTCTGTTTAAAAGAAAACTTTCGCTAATAATGGTATTCCTTGTAACACATTCTCACAGGAAATAAAAGTACTTCTGGGAGAGCTTAGTGTTGAGAAGAAAGACCTGGATGCCCAGATGAATGAGAAAAAAGCACAGCTTTTGGTCCTAAAGAAGGATATTAGAAAAGAGGAGGAAAATCTGCAAGGAATACTTGGACAGGTCACCAAGCATAAGATGGGTATGTGCCTGGATTTCCTGGGGTTTGTGCTCACTGGGTTCATCCTCATCCTAATCTAATAATCTCCTATTTATTTCACCTCACTAGAACTGAAACATGTGCTGGAAATGCTGGAGCTTGAAAAGAATGAACTGGAAGGTTTGAAACTACAACATGACCAGAAGGTCAATGAGCTGGAAAAGACTCAGGTTGCAGTTGTGGAGGTAAGAATTTCTTCTGTAGCTGGAAGAGCTGTGGTTCTCTTAAGCTTTGGGTAACAGTCCTGATGCTTTTAAATCTATCAGTTTCTAATCTGATTTCAGCTTATCACACAAAAGTCCTAAGTCTGCTTAGGCCCTTTAAAATAATGGGATTTTTTGGTGTTTGTGAGGGAGAGGAAGCACAGAAGCTCTTCTGTGGCTGTAGAATGATGGATGCTGGTTTTTTTAGAGCTTCCAGAGTCTTCTTATCTGGATTCTTAGTCCTCACTTKCAAAGAGTGAGTCTGGAAGAGAGTTTAACTCATCTGGATGATCTTCTCTAGCATTAAAAAAGTCCCCAAAGTACTTGGTGCCCTTCTATTGCCACCTTAACGTGGTCACCTTCCTCCATTAAATGCAYTCACATTACTCTGGCTGCAGCTGAGGATGTCAATCCTTGTTCTACATCTGGACCATATCAATGGATTTCTCACAGTGCCTGCTTTTCCTAGGAGAAATTAAAACTGGAGAATATTCAGAAGTTATTTCAGTGTCAGCAAGGGGAAGTGGATTGGCAGGAACAGCTCCTCCAGAAAAACCATGAGGAAAATGAACTCCTGGGCTCTGAAATGAGAACTCTGCAAAGCAAAATCGAGGCTCTGACCAAMGAGAAGGAGAAGCTGGAAGAAGATTCCAGGAATTTGGAGAAGAAGTTGTCACAAGCCAAAAGGTGGAGGAAATGTCTTTTTCCTACAAAGATCAAAAGGGTTGGGAAGTGCTCTGAATGTCTGTTGTAGTTCAAAATGCAACTCTAACTTGGAGGTGCCCAATGATACAGAATATGCAGTTCTTATGTTCTGTGGGGTTTTTGCTTTCAGCCTCTCTACAGCAGACTTAAAAATGTTCAGGAAAGGAGCTGGTGAATCAATAGCATTTTTTATATTCTGGTAATACCACAAGAAATGTTAGGAAAATTGAAGTGTGGCATCCTGGAACAAGACATTTGTCTTGCTCTGCCTGCTGGTGCCATCACCCCCTTGGGCTGAGAGGGTTTTAGTGACATTTTTAAAATCTTCACCAAGGATTTCCAGCAAACCAAGAATATGATTCTCTTTTTACAGAGACTTAACTGCTGCTGAAGACAGCAGCAGAACTGCACTGTCCAACAAGGAAAAACTGGAATTGAATGCTAAGAACCTGCAGAGGGAGGTGGAGCTACTGAAAAAGCAGAAGAAATCACTGAATGCAGAGATTGTTGCTGTCCAGGAGGATCTTCAAGGTAAAGATCCATTTTTGGGTTTAAGCTGTAAAACATTTTAAGGGAAGTTCTATTAAAAGACACTTTGTGACTGAACTATGTGATATTAAATGTGCAGCGTGCTCAGATGTCCATAGGCAGAAAGAATTTTACACGTTGAAAAGGTGGAAATTTTAGTAACTGTGTTTCTGTTGTTCACTCTTCATTTATAAAAAGAGAAAATTTCTGTGTGCTGGTATTTCAAACTGCTGATGAAAATCTCTTGTCACCAAATTCTTTTCTAGGGAAAAAAGAAGAACTGGAAACACTGAAAGGAGAACTGAATGGCTCAAGGCAGCAGCTTCAACTGATGAAACAGGTTGGTTTTAGTGAAAAAAAATCTGACCTGTTCATGTGGGCACAGCAGCTCAGCATCAGAGCCCTGCAGGGCTGAGGAGTAGGGGCTGCTTTATTTCTTTTTTGCTGAGTGTGGAGTGGATTTATTGGGTTTTAAAAAGATATTTTTAAAATAACCATCCAAATAACCAGCACATTCTGGCTCTGTGTGTGTTAATTCACTCCGTGGCTGGTTTGACTGGAAGGAACCCTGAGTGTGACAGTGACAGTGACAGTTCTGCTCTCTCAAACACAAACCTTTTGGGCTGGTTCCTCTCTCCAGCTCCTGCTGCCACGTGCTTCTGTTTTCCATTGCAGGATTTGGAAAACAGCTCAAAACAGCAGGAGGAGCTGCTCAGAAAGCAGGCAGCCCTGAAGGAAGAGATCCGAGARTGTGTAAGGAAACGAAAGGAATGCCAGGAGAGGCACAAGAGGAGGGAGAACCAATTGCAGCAGCTCCGGAAAAAGATTGAAGAGAAGGAAACAGAACTCACCCAACAGGAAGTGGTAATGAAGCCCCTGACTTGTCTCACTTCCTCCTGACCTTAAAAATAATTCAGGCCACAAAGTTTGAGGTGTGAGTTTACAAATAATCACAGAAGCACTGACTGGTTTGGCCCAGTTAACTTGGGTTGGGTGAGGAGTTTCAGCAGAGTGTTACCCTAAAGAAAAATGGAGGGAGCTGTTCTGAAAATGAGAGAGGCAAGAAAAATGAACATTTTCTGTCAGTAGGGACTGCTAGACTGCTGTTCTTTCCAGTTTATGCTGTTTTACTTTTCTAATGTCTCTTAGTGATGGTTTTGTTCTCCTTGAGTTGGTGCTGGTTCACACTCAGAGTGGGGGTTTTTGGCAGGTTCTTCGTCGCCTCAAACAAAACTCAGAGCATGAAGAAAAAAGACTGGAAGAATGTACAGCTAAAGTGAAGGATCAGAAAATCCTGCTGGAAAAGGAGCTAACAGATCAACACAAAAAACTGGAGCAGGCAATAGCAAAAGTCAGGCTGGCTGAACAGAACCTTGGGAAGCTGGAAGAGAAGGAGTCCCAATGTGCAGCTCTTGAAGAAACCATCAGAAAAAGCAGTAAGAGGCATTGCACAAATAACTTGTCACCATCTCTGGGGGCTCAGACTAATGGCACCAAAATATTTGTGTTTATCTTGCTTGGGTTCTTGGTGTTTGGAAAACATCTGCTGTGTATGAAGCGGGACAAGATACTGAAGTTGTTGCTAATCAGGATTTTTTTTTTTAATGTTCATTACAGAACATCAGCTTTCAGAAAAAGAAATACAGTTGCTACAAAAAGAAAGAGAAATAGAGTGTCTTCAGAATGAACTGCAAGTCTCCAAGTCTGAGCTAAAGCAACTCCAAGGTCAGATAGTATCAGAGAGGAGAGAAGCAGAAAAACAAATCTTGGATCTGAGAGAAAAACAGAAAATGCAAAGGATGGAGCTTGAAAGCAAACTGCAGGTAAGTCCTGGCTGAGGGGAGCAAGTTTGGGGATTTGGGTTATTTTAAACAGCAAAATGATGGAACACCCAGTTTTGTCATTGGAGGAACAAAGCAATGCATCAGCTTCCTGACCAGACTTGAGGCAACCATCTTCTGCAATTTAGTGCTGCTCAACACCTGAGTTACCCCTGTTCAATTCTGTTTCTTCCTTGAAGAAATTGGGGGATCTCTCAGCTCATGTTCTGTAGTGGATCCTCCCACTAAAAAGCATCTTTCTGCATTTTTCTAGGAGCACAAGCATGGAGATGCCAATTTGCAAAGTGACAGAGCCGTGACTGAGCACAGTAACTGCCCACAGGCCAAGCAGCTCGTGGAGGACCTGGGCCAGACCCATCAGGACCCCCAGAGCCAGGTAMAGCTGGGTGCCAAATCCAGGGAGCTGAGGCTTCTTGGCTTCCAGGCATGTTCATTTTGTGTGCTTTTGAATCTCTTCCTCCTATTGTATCACAGTTTAAAACACACCTAGAGGTGTAATTTATGCAAGTCACAAGGTGTTAGCCACATTCAGAGCTACTCAGTGGGCAATGAACAACTTGCCAGTGCCAGCCTGGGCTGGCTTTTTCTGCTTTTGATACTCATGTTAAATCTAAAGATTTAACCTTGTCTGAAGGACTCCTTCCAGTCCTTCAATAAATCCTTTATCGATTGTTTTGAAGCCCTTTAAAAACAGAGAAGAATGTTGTTGGCAACTGGAAAACATTTGGGAAAGGCCTGCAAGGCCAGAGTGTGGCRGGTTTAGATAACAAGTTGTGTCCTGGTAATTGGAATTTCCTGTTCCCATCTGAGAGGCTTCCCTGGCAGAGTTAATGTTGGAACCAGAGCTTTGTGACTGCTGGCTACCATGGTCCAAATGGAGCCATTTCCAGAACAGCCTGGTTCACTTGTGCAGGAAAAGCCCTCAGGACTGATGTTTGCAATGCAATTGTTCTGTGCTGCAGGTTAAAGCCCAAGACATGGAAGAGAGACAGAGGGAAATGGAGAGTGCAGCAACATTGCTTAACCTGGAGGTTGAAAACGAAATTAARATGGGGTTTAATTCTCCAAGCTCATCTTCTCTAGACCCGTTGGAAGATTCGGAAGCTTTTCCTGAGGGAAGTCTGCATTTTGAGTGGGATAATTCCTTCACTGCTGCTGACAGACAGCTCCTCTCTTTGGAAGACAAGTTCAGTATTTCCAGAGTCTTGTTACTGGTAAGATGCTTTGGCCAAGCAGCTGCTCCCAGTGCTGTGCTGGTTCCTCTGGCTGATTGTGCCTTTGTTTCCCAAAGGATGAGCAGTGGAGGGGAGAGGCGCTCCAGGAGAAGCTGCAGCAGCACGAGGACCGGCTGAAGGTGCCCCATCTGTCCCCTCACATCCTTTGGGCCCCTTCTAAACATGATCTAAACAACCTGGGGGAGTGGGGATCCTCCTCCAGCTCAGGCCAATYCACTCTGTAATGACCAGAGAGGAGCTTTGGGTGGGAACACTGAAAACCTGGCTGTAGCAAGRGTAATTTTAATTAGCATTTATTTGGATGTTGGACTATTCCAACAAGMTGCCCTCCTTTATGCCATCCTGTGGTATATCAGCAACATGAGAAAGGAATTCAGGAGCACCCATGATCCCTTTGTGGTCCAGGTTGAGTTAGAACGTGGCCATTCAAATGGAGCTTATTTAAAATAACTCCCAAACCCCTTTCCCCTGCCTGTGGGATGAGACTCAGCCCTACAGGATGGAAGGTTTTCCTTTCTGGGGTGCTGGCAGTGCCCTGCTGCTGTAGCAGCCCTGCTGTGTTGTGTTGCAGGCGCGGCTGCGGCGCTGCCTGGCCAAGCAGGCCGAGGTGCTGRTCCGGGGCAAGCAGCAGACAGCCGGGAGCCTGCACAGCCTCCAGCGCCGCCTCCAGCTGCTGGACASCCTGGTCAGCAGCTCGGCTTCAGAGTCACCCTACCTGCCCAGCAGCCCCAGCCTGGCATCTCTGCACAGTTCTTTGAATGTAACAAAAGCCCAGGTAATGTTCTGCTGGGGACCAGAGTTCTGATGTGGGGGGGTTTCATGGTTTTTCTCTCCCTGTTAGTTGTTTACAGCCATGAGCTGTCCCTCTCTGAGGCTGGGCAGGGCTTTTTGAAGGTGCTGATCACACCCTACCCCTACTCAGGCAGTGGTTAATGCCTTTGAAAAAGCTGAGCTTTCCTCAGCGTGGTTTGGGGTTTTTTCACCTTGTTTTATGCTTAAAATCCAGCATGCTCTCATTTTTCACTAAGTTGCAAATGTCTCTGGTACCTGAAAGCTGTCATTGCTCAGAGTTTCTGTTTTCCCCAGGCTCCTGTGCCAGGCCTGGCTGAGGTCCCCAGCAGCCCAGGGAGTACTCTGGGATCACCAGTGCTGCATTCCAGCTCCCACGGAGTCTCCCGGTGAAGGCCACAGGTGAGAGGTGGCTCCAGGCCGGTTCCAACTCCCTGAGACACAAACGCCTGCAAGGCTGAGGGACCTGTGGCTTCACAGAGCGTGCTGTCCCTTGGCAGTGACAGCATTCCTGTGGCTGCTGTCTGTTCTGGTTTAGGTTTGTGTGTCATGCAGAACAGTCTGGGTGAGAGCTGCTGGGAGCTCTCCTGGGACATGAGTTACTGCTGCATAAACTGTTGCCATGCCTGSTCTTCCAGGAACTTTCCTGGTTAAGCTGTTCAGCCCTGAGGCTGAACCTCTGTTACAGCTGGTTCCACACCAGCCTGGTACAAAAGTGTCCTTTTGTAATGGTTTCAGATAAAAATGTTACTTGAAAAGTGGCTTCTCTTTAAAAGAAGAGCCCAAAGCACATCCACAGCTTGAACAGGGGCCCTCAGGTGCCCTCTGAAGAGTTCTCCTACCTCACTGGGTGAGCCTTGTCTGAAAAGGCCTTTGCCACCACTCCCAAACAGCTGCTGCAGGGCCTGCTCTATGAAGGTTTTGTACAAGTGAGTAWGAGGTTGATAGAGGTCGGTTTGTTTTTAAAAAAGCTATTTTAAATGTGTATTTAAATACATGTCCAAACCAACCTCCTATTTAAGTGTTCAGCTAGTGGCCAGTTTCCACTTTAAAGAAACTTTGTTACAAGGCCTGATCTGTTGCCAAATGCACCGAGGTTTAAAATGCAATTATTTTGGATACTTTCTTAAAATAAACTTTTGTAATTGATGCTTTTGTCTGGGGTTGGTTCCAGATTCTTTTCCTTGAAGCTGTTCTCCAGGTTGCTGATCCTTTCACTGTGGTTCTGGAGCAGCTGCTGGCACAGCCCTGGGCAGTGACAATGCTGAGTGCTGGAGCTGCTCCTTGCAGGATGTGTCCACCTTTGGTGTATCTGCTCCTCTAACTCTTCCTGGCTGTTGGTTGAGTACCTCTTGCTCTTAACTGACTCCTACTTAGAGGAAAAGCCACTTTGTAAATCCTTCGGGCCCCAGGACAATGCAGAACAGGGGCTGTGCACTGGTTGTCCCAGCTCTCCACACCCTTTAGCATCAGTCTGTTGTGCCCTTTCTCATCCTCAAGATAAACCTTTTCTACACAGCAGCACCCAGCCATTGTCAGAGTTCACTGGGAACGACCACCACCCTGCCCTGCTTCCTTAAAGAACAGCTCTGGGCCCTGCAAAGCACTGGCAGATTCCTCTGGGAAACCCTGGAACGTTTGTATTATGCAAGGCCCATGGTAAAGGTCGAGCACAAATCCCAGAACCCCAAGGTGCCATCCCCTCTCAGAGATCCCACCCTCAGCACAGAGGGCCAGAGCAAGAACACACACCAGGGAGGTTTATCTAGATACAGGTACTTTATTTACAAATATTTAGATTAATAGCATTGTTACATCAAATGAGGAGTACAGCAGTCCAAACAGATCCTTTCTGTGACAGAAACAATAAGACCTACTGTAACTTACTCTGGGAGTACAGGTATTGCACCTCAACAAGCTGTAGTCATTACAACACTGACTTCACATCAGCAGCAGGTCGTGGTCCCTGGGCAAACCCTGGTGCAGCCTTGGGTTAAGCAGGATGCAGGAGCTGGAGATCTTGAACATACCCATCTACTGAGGAACAGGAGTTAAAAAAGGACTAACCAGACAAAACAAAGGGACAGCACACGAGTTACCCAAATCCTATTGTCTGCACATTCCAGTTTTGGCTTTTATTTAACATTGACTGTACAATACTCTGGTACCACTGGTTACTTACAAGTCTGAACGTTGTAGAGTTTTAGTGTCTAGAGAGGGATTTTGAGACTACTTTGTATTTGAAATGCTGCAATAAGCCTGAAGTGGGACATTTCATCGTGGGAAAGCACTTACCCCCTTCCATTTTTAAACCATGTGATTTTTCCAAGTGAAGCTGCACRCGGAGCCACAGTAAAACCCCAGATGAGTGCAGCAACACCCTCACAGGCACGGTCACCACGTGACACCCTCACACACATGACAGGCTGTGGCACCCTGGAAGGATGTACTCAAAGGCTTGAAGCAAAACCCTTTAAAAAAAMCCCTCACACAGCACTGTTAAAAAATACAAGAGTAGTTAAAAATCCCTAGAGAGCAGATGTTGTTCCAACTGTCCAGTTCAGCCTCTGCCCATTCCCAAAGTTACAGGTAGAAAAGCGGGAGGTGTGCGAGAGCCCGGCCACGGCTGAAGCCCGAGAATGCCAAAGAGAAGCAGGTAGCACTGCTGAGTGCAGAGGGSAGGATTGCACAGTGCAGAGATGAGAGCCAGACCCACTAGTGTTCATGTCTGTGTCCCCCAGCACCGTGGGCACCCCGCGAGTGACGCCTGGCAGCTGCAGCCACAGCTGGGCTGTGCTGCCGGGGGGCACAGAGAGCTCAGACTGTACAAATGGGGGTTTCTTACACACTGCTCTAATGCCAGGCATCGTTTTTCTTCATTAAAATCATATACACAGGATGTATTTAACTGTTAGCTCAGTTCCTTCAAATTTTATACATATTTACGTTCTGTTAACAAAGGTAAAGGATAAAAGTGGCAAAAAAAATGACGTAAAGCTATTGAGCACAAGAATGAACAGATCGCTTCCCTGCGCCACCCCGACCCCAGCACATCCCACAGGGAATTCTTCCAACAAAAGCACATCATTACAGAGCCCCTCGCTACCATCGGAAGTCATTTCACAGCAAAAACTTATCCTTTACTACGAACAGCTCGAACAGTTAGAGGTGGGGAAGAAAGGCCAAAGAACCATAAAATAAACCATACAAGACAAAGCCCTGCGAAAGTGTAAAATCAGGAGTCCAGCATCAGTGCTCAGTTTAAATTATGTATCGGTGACACTATCACAAGGACAATCAAGGAAAAAAAAACTTCTAGATTTACCATGCAGGAGAGGTTTTATTACTCTACTTGCCTTTGATAACCTGATTACATCTAAAGTTGTTTAGCAGTTTAGTACTGTGTTAAACTTGTCTCAGAGTTTTAATTAAACCCAGTAAGATGTACAGAAGATGGGGGAAGCGGTCAAAAGCACCACTCCCTTCAGCCAGAGGTGAGGGGTCAGAAGGAGCCACGGAGGGGTCACTAGCAGCCACAGCCTTCTCTCTGGGGCTGGGGTTCGCTCGTTAGCCGCCCCCCCTGCGGGGCTGACGGTTTGTGCTGTACGCCCGACTCGGCCGCGTTCAGGTCCAGGCTTCCATCTTGGATGTTCTGGTAGATTTTCTTGGCAGCCTCCAGGAACGCRTCCTCCACGTTCTCTCCACTGCAAGAGAGCAGCAGCAGTTACTGGGGCTGCAGTGCTGCTTACAGAGGGAGCTGAGCACRCTGTGCTGGCACCTGATGGGCACTGCCCTGTCTGCTCACAGCTCAACAGCCCAGCCCTGCTTACTGCACCCATCAGGAGCAGCCAGGAGTAAGGAACGAGTGCCAAAGCACTGAGGAGCAACAACAAGCCAAGGTGCCWGTAGGAACCCCATTTCCACAGTGACACAGCTGGCCCCAAGCACAGCACAGCAATTGCTCAGTTGTTTGCTACAGACCAAACTTTCAGCTTGGAACAGCCTTTACCCACATGAACACACTCCACACTCAAATAAGGCCTGAAATCCAAACCAGTTCATTAGAATTCAACCAGTCTGAAATGCAGCCAGASRTCTMAGTTCCAAGTCACCTTCAAATCAAAGCAAACACACCAATCTGAATCACAGCCAAAAGTCACTTACGTTTTTGCACTTGCTTCAAGGAACAATAAACCTGTTCAGAGACAGAGGTTTAACAGTCAGTGCACAACACACCTCCAAGAGCCCAAGGTCAGGTACATCATGACCCTCCCATTACATGCAAGACACTATTTTAATACTAAACAAGGTTTTGTGATTATGTTAAGGCATCAACAGAAGCTGATTGCTAGAACTTAGCACTAAGCCAGACTGCCTGAGGCACAGCAGGAGTTTGTACATACAATTCCATTACTCTGGAAGTGTAAACTTGCAGCTATCARTGCTGAGGATTCACTTTATCATCACTATCCTGTAGGAAATGTACAGCATAAGAGAAAAAAACACACCATTTTCTTCAGCAAATTGTTTGGCTTCTTCATATGTAACATCCCTCTGTGCTTCCAGGTCTGCTTTGTTTCCTATGAGGATTATCACCTGGGTCAAGAGAGACAAAGTTAGTCTGAAAAAAACCTTATAAGCCTTTTCACTGACACCTTCATTACTAATGAGACTAAAAAAACCTCTTGCAGAGACCACTGCAGTGCTTTGGCCYGGGAGTGCCTCCCACTTCTTGTTTTGGGAGAAGCAATCTTGCTTTTAAGTGAAAWAAGTCCAACTTACAGTATTTGGATTGGTGAGGTTCCTTGCATCTGTCAGCCAGCTGCTTAAATGATTATATGTACTTCTTCTGCAAAGAATCAAGAGAGGACAGTTTCAGCCTTCTATAAAATATTAAAGTGCCAACAGCACAGTCAGCATCCAAACACAGCAACATCCGTCATCCCTGTTCTTCTCCCCACCTCARGACAGACAAAGCAGCAGCAGGGTGGACTCAGACCACAATTTCTAGTCAGCTTTAAACCCTTGAGGAGCTTTTACACCTCCAGTGGAAAGCCAGACCCATTCCCACTGCTAGMACACAGCTCTGCAGACAAACATTGATGCTGTTTTGTACAGAACACATTAAAGGGGTTCCTGTCAAATGCTCTTACACGACACAGTGCAGCAGAACAGCACCTCAGTAACAAACTGCAGAAGGTCATGTTTTACTCARGATCTACACAAACAGGAAATASACCTACATATGCAGGAAAAAACARAGAGGTGCCTGAARAATATCAAGAATRGCCCCAGAAGAAGATGAGAGATGTGTGAAAGTCTAAGTATTCCATGTTGAATCTGATGGATTATTGTTTGACCAGCATCTTTAGCTTTTACCTCTGAAGGAAGCCAGGATGGCAGGGCCAGCATGGCTCCTGTGCAGGGMCAGGCTGCTGGGGAAGAGGCCCAGGCTCAGCCTTAGGCCAGGCTCTCACACACACGGGCTGTTCTGCACGTTCACTGCGGCACAGCCGCGCTCTGTCCGGGCCCACTGAGGACATCCCTGCCAGGTGAGCAGCACTGCCCACTGCMTCCCACAGGAGCAGAATCCATGTGCTCAAGAGCAGATTTTAAGGACAAAACCGGATCTTTAAAACAACTTTAGGCAGTACAGCCTGAAATGACAAGCTCCTCAGGCTCATCAGCAGTGAGATYTTCCAAGAAAAGCAGCTCACATCATCTCATCTGCAGCTCTTTAAATACTGGGRCATTTAGATAAAGTGTGGCAGGCATCACACAACAGGATGCTTCTCATCCAGAACACACAGGGCCCTTTGAGCCAAGGGGACAGACAAGACAGGACAGTATTTACAGGGCTGAGCATCCAAACGTCACCAAGCACATCCAGCCCTTACCTGGTGATGTCGTAGACCATGAGAGCTCCTGCTGCTCCTCTGTAGTAGCTTCGTGTGACAGCCCTGAATCTCTCTTGTCCTGCTGTATCCCAAATCTGTAGTTTAATTTTTTGGCCACTAACTTCAATTATTCTTGTGCCAAATTCAACACCAATTGTGTGGGGACAGTCTGCCATAACTGTTATAAAAAATAAGAGCAGAAATCAGATCTTTCTAGGACAAGGCTTTCTTGCTGCAAAGATATCACTACCACCAGTT